ATTCCATCTGCAGGCCAATGCCGGCTGTCGACCACCCGGAGGAGGGCCTTCTCTGTGGCTGCTCCGGCCCTCTGGAACGATCTCCCCGTGGAGATTCGGACCCTCGCCACCCTTCAGGCCTTCCGTATAGCCGTTAAGACCTGGCTGTTCCGACAGGCCTGGGGCTGTTGAGTTCCACCCCTACTCGAATTGATTGTGCTTGTTGTGACTTTTTAAATTGTTTTGCATTGTTGTGTTGTTTCTGTTTTTTTACTCTTTTTGTATTTGTGCCCTTTCCCTCCTGGTTTGTCAGCCGCCCTGAGTCCCTTTGGGAATAGGGCGGCATACAAGTCGAATAAACCACTAAACCACCACTAAACCAATATCTCAGATCGAGACCCTCTGTCCAGCAAAAGAAGGAGAAAAGGGCCCATGGCTGGCTTGGTGGCCAGGACCAAGATTGGCCTAAAGAAAGGCAGCTGGATTCAGTTAATGAAATGACAGCAGAACAACAATGTAAAATCCTGGAATAAGATCATAAGAACCCTGCTGATCCAAAGGGATACAGTCGTGGATTTGGTGGAAGTGCCCGTTCCTTATAGGTGAGATCACTTCTTTTACTTCATACAACTCCAATCATTCAAGCAAGGTTAGGAACATCACCACACTGGCTATCTTCAGAGTGCACCAAGGGGGGGTTAGCTCTTTGGCATAATCCTTGGGCGATTCAATGCCTGTTTCTTGAGCCACAAAAGGAAAAAAGAGCACTTAGTCTAAGCAATGGCTAGTGTCTCTTGAAGATTAAGGCTAAGATCTTATCTGGAGGGTTGGGTTTAAGGCCATCTCCCTTTCCCCACCTTCCAGGTGGGTTTGGGATGGTACTTCCTAACACATCTGGCTGACCCCAAGTGGAAGGAGACCGTTTAAGGCAGCGTAGAATTTATTTTTGCAAGTTTGTGAAATGGAAGAGAGATCTGGTGCTCTTGGAGAGCAAATCAATGTTCTGCTGGTAATTTAATAAAAAGGAGGGGTTTGGGGTAGATGGGTTGATACTGTTTTCTGTAGCCATCTCTCTGTTCCTGGTCACCATCAATCCAAACCTTTGTTGCTCGCTACGTATATCTTCACAAGCACACCTTGCTATAGGTAATAAATATTTTTGCTAGCTGTTATGAGTGTTTCTAAGTCCTGCCTTTGATAACTGCCCTCCATCCTTAGCTATCAAAGGAGGTTGGAAAGCGAAGTTCTGGTTTTTGGAGAACCTCAAATGAAACTTCTCATGGGATAGAGACAGAGGGCAGTTCTTCCTCTGAACCTATCATGATGACAATAAGCATCATCTTGAGAACTTAGTTATGGTGGTTGGATCAGTTTATGCCTGGTGTTGAACCCACCCAGAAAGCAGGGCTAACTTCAAATTGTGTTTTGAAATCAATACTGGAATATAATCTAGATGTAGAGCCATTTTTATACAACAGATGGTAGTACAAGGGGATGAGGACTTGATAAATAGCACCTACCAGCTACGCTTTAACGGGTGGCATATTACTTTTTTGCAAATCTATGTACAGTACAGTTACGTCTATGTGCTCACGTGTGTTTTAAGTCATCTGGCAAAATGGAATTATTGCAAAATTGGAAGGAAAGTCTTGGTTAGAACACCTTTGGAATGTATTGATTGCATCAATCGTAAACAGTAGTTTGAAGGAATGGAGTTTGCTTTACTGTGCTACAGTCGGCTACATTTATATTAACAGTATTTTTTTAAAAAAAAAAATGGAACACGATCACAGGGAAAGCACTCCACGCATTGAAATATAATCTTGGAAGAAGCCAAGTTCAAGAGCAACAAGGTTTCTAGGAAAGGCACATCTCCCAACCTTCTGGCTGGCTTCCCCCGACCTTAACTTCAAAAGCAAGAGATGAGTCTTATCAAAACCTTCCACATCTGTTGAGAAAGCAACCTCCAGAGCTGGAATTCTGGAAGTTACATCTAGAGAACATCCACTTCAGGAGGGCTGCATTATCTACCTTGGACACAGTCCGTCCGTCCATCCATCCATCCGTCCATCCATCCATCCATGCCAAGCAAACATGGGGCCCAGTTTTGAAAGGAATCATCTCCCCACTCATGAAAGGGGAGTTTTACATATCCACAGATCTCTTCTGTTGAGTTAAACTCTTTAAGTAGTCCCAAGACCTTCAAGAAAGCTAGCTCTTTTAGGCTAGCTTTCACGTTGACCCTCGGTTCCACCTGGATGCAGGAGATCCTTCTGCTTGGAAGGACTTCTGGAGGGATTAAGTGGTCCAAACTGCTAGATAGGACAAAGGGAAATCTGTCGGAAGATCCGAGAGTTTTTGCTGGTTGGGGAGAAGATTTAAGTACATCCTTCAGACCCTACGCTACACTGACAGCGAGGAAAATTGTGAACTGCTCTTGAGCTAAAACACCATCTTTTTAACACTTTCTAGTTGCTTCCACCATCCTCCAAAAGATTGTATTGCCGGATCACCGTTGCTTGTTTCCATCTGATTATGGATGGACTTTTTTTGCCATAATGCAGAATTCCGTAGACTCTTCGGCTTGTAAGTCAAAAAGGGCCGGAAATCAGCACAAATACCTTGACGAAGACTGGAAGACTCTGAAACACAGTTTCCAGAGGAGTTTTGTTTTTGTTTGCAAAGAGAAGGATATGGAACATTATTCAAATCGATGCCCACTTCATGCGCGAGGCCGACAGAGAAGCAGATACAGGGGTTCAGCCCAGAACTTCATCGCTCGAAGTTGTCACAAGCTGTCATCCCCAGAGAGCACCATCCCACCCCTTTGATGCGTCAATAAAATATTCCCCAGTGTAAATATATTTTCCTAGATTTAGAATAAAAACAAGCAATTAAGGCACCTACTTCAAGTTTTTCTTTTTTTAAAAAAAAAAAAATCTTCCACCTACCCCCTGCAATTCTTTTTCGAGTATAAACTTTTTATACAGACAGTTCTTCTTGCAACAGGAAGTTGGTGGTGGCAGAATCGTTCCAGCATGAAACGACCCGAAAAAAGAGGGGGGGGGAAATGAGGACTGGTTGATTGAAATTGTGGAGGAGATGGCCCCCAATCCCTCCAAGCGTTCACCCCAACTGTGAAATCCAATCGTTTGAGTGCAAAGATGGGCCTGACTTCCTTGCTGTATTGCAGGACAGGACCGGAGGCCAGGTTCTGAGAGTGCAAACGGTTTTATCAAACAAGGCTGTGGCTGGAGGTGTCTTCATTGTACATAAATAGACATATATCCCTGAGTAAAAGGAGAGTTTGATGGAGGAAAGTTAGAATCAACCTGGCTGTAGTTCCTGGTTTTGCATTTTGCATTTTTTGTTTCCCTACAAAAATTCCCTTTGACACCTGAGCAAAAAGAAAAAACTATACAAAAGAGCATCTTTTTAAGGCTTAAAAACACACACACACGCACACAGAGCAAAAAGAAATGTCCAGGAAAAGATTCCTGGAAGGACCATGGAGAAAAACGTATAAAACTCGAGTCCTACTGTGCCAAAAAAAATTTCTGCAGCAATCTTGCAGGAGAAAAACCCCACCCTCTTATTCCCTTCAAAACAAGGCCACGTTTTCTCTTGCTTTGTTTAAAGAGGGTGGGGAGCAAAGCGTTACGAGGCGACGAGAACTCCAAAGAATTGGACGCGAAGGTGGCAAGCAGCGTGCAGGTGCGGGGAGATTTTTAGGGGGAACTGCCAGGACTGTCCCTGGGGCTGGACCCATCGGACCGGCTGTAGTCACTCAGAGACCCCGTCCTGGAGCTGCAGCCGCTTCGTCTCTTCAGCATGTTGGGATGGAAGTTGGCGTGACGGCGGGCGTGCTTGGTGAGGTGGTCGCTCCGCATGAAGCGCTTGTCGCAGAGCGGGCAGGAGAACTTCTTCTCGCCCGTGTGAGTGCGGAAATGCCGGGCCAGCTCGTCGGAACGGGCAAACTTCTTGTTACACTCTTCCCAGCGGCATTCGAAGGGCCTCTCGCCTACAGGGAGACACGGAAAAGAGAAACGGTCTTTTATTACGGTCGCCTACCAGAATTCTGTTCTGACCGAGGCTTCCCGAGAGCAGGAAGCAAACTCCTGGCCCTGACAAAAACAACCCCTTTATTAATTGGCTGTGAATTCTGCTCATTCACATCCAGCAAAGTCTTTCAAGGGAGGATTTACAGTCACAGACCTCATCTGGCTTGGAGAGCTGCCAGGCTGATCTCTGAAAAACCTGGCAAGGAGCCTCGGAGAGTCACGAACCAATTAAGCGAACTAATTGTCTCCTGCAAACTCCACTCCCCTTNAAGTTGGTTTTTTTTATTTTTTTATTACATATTTTAACTTCTTTTACAAACAAAGGTTTCCCCCCTTTACATCTTCTGTTATGCATAGTTCATTTTACATCATATTTTCATTTCGCATTTCCATATTTTCCATATATTTTTGATGTTACTTGGTTTCAAACAGGGATCAAGACGAGGCTGTGCAGCCATTTGTCAGAAAGGGAGCAGGGAGGGCTAACCTTTCTCTCCTCCCGTGCCAAAATCGCACACACGCAAGTGAACAGCCCGTGCGTGTATGCCCACATCCACAACACAATGCCCAGGGGTGGGTCAGTGCCGGTTCGCTCACAGGGCATGCCGGACGCATGCTGCGGGCAGGTACACAGTTGCCTGTAAAGTGTTCTGTGCATTTAAAAAGGAATAAAAAACATGCCGGAAAAACAACATGGGTGACCAGGGAACCGGTTCGATGGTGTGGCCTGCCTGCCATCCCTATCAGTTCGACGACCCAGTTGCAATTTCGACTACCGGTTCGCCTGAACGAGTGCAAACCAGTAGCAACTCACCTCTGGCCCCGCCCCCTATGCATGGGTGGATGACCACCCCCATGCCCCCCCTCCCCCCGCGCATGCGCATGACTCCCACACACCCATTTTGGGCCTAGCAGACCTCCCTGAAGCCTCCTGCGGCAAAAATGAGGTGCACACACACACACACACATGCTTTCCTTCCCCCCACACACAGACATATGCAAGCCGTCACCAAACCTGGTTAACGGCTGTATGTGTTCCCATAATACACTGACCTCGTCAAGCGGGATTTATACGTTGCAGGGAGTCACTAAAAGGGATCCACTGACCCAGTCAATTAACCCCCAAAAGGATTTAAATGTAATCCCAAAGAGACTCAGATTTAAATCAACCCCATTCAGTTGCTTCTGTTACAGGTAAATGCTGTAGTTTGCCTAGTTAATCCTCCAAGAAAAAGAGTTGGAGAGAAAGAGGGGCTGAAAGCGAAATCTCTCCGGAAGTCACTGGTAGCACCTGGCAGAATACAGGGAGTCAATCCTCAACTTACAACCATTCATTTAGTGACCATTCAAACAAACCACAGCACTGAAAAAAAAGGGGACTTAGGATCATTTTTTCACAACTTACGCCCGTCGTAGCTTTCCCACGGGCACGTGATCAAAACTCAGCTGCTTGGCAACTGATTCATATTAATGATGGTCGCAGTGTCCCCGGGATCACATGATCCCCTTTGGTGACCTTCTGACAAGCCAAGTCCATGGGGAAGCCAGATTCACTTAACTACCGTGTTCCTAACTTAACAATGGCAGCGGTTCACTCATCAAGGATGGCAAGAAAGGTCGTAACATGGAGCAAACGTCTCGCCTAACAACAACAACAAAATTGGGGGCTCCACTGTGGTCGTAAGTCGAGGACTATCTGTCTTATGCATTGGTCCAATGTACATGCTGCTCCAGAGGTTGGTATTCAACAGATTCTAACCAGATCTGGAGAACCGGTAGCGGAAATTTTGAGTAGTTTGGAGAATCGGCAAATGCCACTTCTGGCTGGCCGCGCCCCCATCTATTCTCTGCTTCTCGAGTCCCAGCTGATCGGGAGGGAATGGGGATTTTGCAGTAACCTTTCCCTGCCACGGCCACCAAGCCACGCCCACAGAACCGGTTGTAAACAAAAATTGAATCCCATTCCTGTGCCGCTCGTCTCTACAAGTGTGAGGTGATACCAAATGGCTGATTATGAGAAAATAGGATTCCAGTCCTCATGATCCTGAATCAATGCCATGTTTTCTGCACGGAATCCCAAGGGGGCAGTGTGCTTATTCTCCTTTTACCCTTCGCACATTGGGTTTTTATTTTATTTTCTGTAAGCTGCCTAGAGTCATGAAAAGTGAGTGGGCCACTGTATAAATTCTCCAGATAAATAAATAAACCACAGAACTTGTTGATGTTTCTGACTGAAGGTGCACTCCCATTAAACCCTGCAAGTGTCCAGTCGATCAGAAAGGTCGGCAGTTTGGGGTTCAAATCCCCAGCGCCGCGTAACAGAGTGAGCTCCCATGACTTGTCCCACCTTCTGCCAACCTAGCAGTTCGAAAGCAGGTAAAAAATGCAAGTAGAA